GCAATCATTCCACAGACACACTCCAGGCAAACATCTCTTGAAGGGATATATTGGATTTTGAAGCTACCTAATATTATTTCTTTATAAATTCACGTTCTGAAAGCAAACCTATTAAAAATATACACATTTGGGTAACAGACAAAAAAGATGGCCAGAGAATAGCACTCATACAAGTCCTAACTGGAGTTTAAGTAGATGTCAAAACTACACTCACTTTGCTAACATAAATCTCTTCTTTCACAGCTGGTCACTGCCATACGTACAGTTTATTGGAGAAGAAATTAGCCTCAGGTATTGTTTAAGCTCATTTAAAAAAAAAACACAGGGAAAAGTGTTTATCTTAAAATTTAAAGCTCTATTAATATTCCTTAGATTGATGCTTACGATGTCTTTTCACATTCAATAAGATTTAACTGAGATTTAAAAAAAAAAAATCAAGTTAAGAGTTTGTTAAATTTCACCAAGAGGTAACAATCAATTCACACAATTATTTACTCACTAAAATTAAAAAAAAAAAACAACAAAAACAACTTTCTTTGTAGCTTCAGTTAGTGATTTCTAAAGAAAACTTTACAACTTGTTACCCAAACACTTAATTTACAGCAAATGGCAACTTTCCAGTTTTCTCCTCTCGTAACACGTTTGCTAATTCATATCCTAGGTGGAATTTGTTGCTTCCAAAAGCCTCAATTATCCAACATTCACTTTAGTAAGTAAATATAGTTTAATGCTCCTGGATGCCCATTGTTTTAGTTCAATTCCACCTAAAACATCTAATCAAGCCTTCTGTTAGCCACAAGTAATGACCTGAAGACAAAGTGTCAAGGCCAGTTTGAGGACCTGATCCCAAGAGCTGCTAAGTATTTCAACCTCTCGATGGAAGCTTGCAGTGCTCAGCATTGCTCAGAATCAGACCTTTGATGTAGTTTATTAAAGACATTCTCATGCTACAAACAAACATTACAGAGAAAAAGCAAACGTTAGCTGTTAGTGAATAAACATATGCAAAAGACAAGATGCTAATGAGCTTTCAAAAAGCAGTACACATACCATCCCAGGTATCTCCACCACCTAGAGAAAAGTGTAAGAGATGAACACAAGTACAGGACAAAAGGCTGCAGATAAAACAGTAACTTACATGGCCACGAGAAAATATTGTTTCATTAGCACATTTACCAAAGAGCTCAACTAATGCATATGGCAATCTACATACTGCTGAGCAAACTAGAAATCAGAGAAAGAAACCGATGAAAAGACTAAAAGATGAAAGCACTCGTTTCTGCAGACGGCCAAGTGATGCCCTGGTGATTTTGCATTAAGTTGTGCCACGAGGTCTAAAAACATCCATATCCATTTTAGCTGTGCAAGAGAACAGCCAACTAGACCGCCTGAAGAAACAGGAATTCTGAGAATCCTAGTCACATTCACAAGTCATGCATGTAGGTAAAAGCTCCCGAAAGAGAGCCTTCTTCTTAGGAGTCTTTCTCACCTTCTGTCTCCATATCTTGCCCCTTTGGAGCTTCCCCAATATCAATTGTGAACATCACTATCTTGGGAGTCATGGTGGACATTCTGTTACTAAAACAAAACTTGTAAGTTCCATCCATGTGGGCAGCAAATGTGTATTTTCCACTGGACTCTCGATCGCCTTTATAAATTCCTTTATTATCAGGCCCTGTAATCTGGACAATGAAAACAAAATATCATTCATTTTATTCAAAATACAGCGTTTTAAAATGCATCAATACCAGTTGGGCGCATATTTTGAAGTCATCCAGTCAGATTTACCCACAGCACCTTTAATCTGACTGATTTGGTGATATTTCTATTTTCCTCGCCACAACTCATAAAGCAGTTCTGTGTTTTCCTGCACAGGAATCTTTAGAGCGCCCTCTCTGTAAAGAAAGCCATATGAAAGCTTTGCTTATTGACTGCCTGTCCTCAAGATAAGAAGCACTCCATAACAAGAGACATAAGCTGCGTACAAGCCTGGCTGTTCCCCAAATTCACAACTGCAGGGGAAACCTTATCTCTGTTGTGTGGAGGGAAACAAAAGGAAATAAAGGACATTCTCACAGTACAACGATGCACAGTTGTGCAGTGCCGCAGCTGCCAGCTCAGACAGAAGCAGGGCACAGTGCTAAGCCATAAGAGTCATGGTGACCTTACATCTTCCAGGACACCAAACCCAGCCACTAAGCTTCCATTACCGACATGCAAATGGAAGCTGGCAGCCTCCTGCTTTTATTTCCTGTATCAGAACTGTGTAACTTTCAACAATTACATCTGATTTCACCAACAGCTCTCATGTTGAAACTATCACCAAACTACCTGCTCCTCGTTAAGATGAAAAGAATGCTCATTTGTTATTCTCCTATCGACTCAACGCTTTACTGAAGAAAAGCACTCACCCACAGCCTGAGCTGGCAATCAACCTGATTAAAGCCGGCAATCAGTCTCGATAAAGTCAGCGTTCATAAGTGGAGGAAGAACGCTCCCAGAACGAGCAACAAACCACTTAATTCTTCCCGCCAACAAACGCTGCACTACGCCAAGACCGCACGGAGCAGGACGCCCCATAAACCCGGAGAGAGGCTCCAGCAGTAGCAGAACGGCTCTCCTCCCGCGGGAGCACCAGCCGTCCCAGCACCCCAAGGAAATGGAGCTCACAGCGATCCCACGGCCCCAGAGCCGGGGGCGGCCAAACGCGGCCCACCCCCCCCAGGTCCCGCCGCCGCCCGGGCCTCCACGCACCGCTTCGCCTTTCCGCACCGCTCTCGGCGCGCAGGGCCCGGTCCCAGGGCTGGGCCCCCACTCAGCACGAGGCCCAAGGTCAGGCGGTCCCGCCTCACCTCTACGTCGATGTCCAGGAAGCCCCCCTCGGCCACCTCAAAGATGAGCCCCATCTTCGTGCCGGACGGCACCCGCTCCAGGAAGCACTCCTCCGCGTGCGCATCGATGCTGACGAAGTAGGCGGCAGCCGGGGCCGCCAGTGCGGCCAGCAGCGCCAGCACCGCCCGCACCGGCGACATGGCGGAGCCCAGGGGCACCGAGCGGCGGGCAGCAGGAAAAGGGGAGGGGGACTTCCGGCTCTCGCCACGCCCCTTCCGGGGCACGGGGCCGCCGCTCATAGGCCGGCGCGGTTCCACTGCCACGTACGGCCCTGCGCTACGGTGGCCGTCAAAGGACTGATGAGGAAGGGACGGCCCGAACCCTGAGGAGAGAGAGGCGCGAAGTAGGAGGCGGAGCCTGTGCTCGAGAGCAACCAATGAGCGAGGAGCAAGTTGCGGCGAGAAGCCAATCAGCGCGAGGAGGGGAGCGCGGGCCTATCAAAATGGAGAAGAGCTGAGGGCGGAGCGGCATTGGATGAGCAGCGGAGGAGGCGTTGCCTGGCAACTGCGCAGCACGGGCTGCGCACTTCTGAAGAGTCGTTGTCTTTGCTGGGTGGGCTGTGCGTGTGGTGCTGCTCAGGCGGTGTGCCTTTTTGCCCTCAGCTGTACGACAGCTGTAATCCAAGTACTCGATTTGTGTGGGTAAAGCACCTTCACCCCGCAGGGTGGGAGCTGCAGTGCTGACATGGCTGTCACGCCCACAGCCACAGCAAACCTTCATCGTGGACTGAGCCCACTGCCTCCAGGGCCTGAGCCGCTGCCTTGGGTTTCCATTGGTCTCCAAGTGATTTCAGTCTTGCCAGTAGCATTCATACATAATGGGGGGAAATTATTTGCTGCTGTATCCTGATGGTGGTATGAACACCTCCTGTACCTCTGACACAGTTCTCACTTTGCAGCCTGTCTGCTCCCCAGAGGTAACACAGAGCACTCTCCAAATACCGTGCTCATTTCTGCTGCCTCTTTTCGTGCTTTCCTAAGTGGCGTTGGCCAGGAATGGATGACTGTGTTGTGACTCATCCCCATGCTCTGCAACTTTGGGCAGTATCTGTGGTGTTCCTTTGGCAAGAAGCTTCATGAACAACAAGCAGACATCATAGGACAGCACTGTTGTTATAAGTTAGGCAGTTGAACATCAAGCTCAGATGTCTGGATGCTTATGACCCAGATCAATGCAGATGAGTGCCTGCTGGCACTAGGATAGAAAACAATTAGAATAGAATCATTTCAGTTGAAAGGGGACCTGAAAGGCAGTCTGCTCCCACTGCTCGCAGTGCATAGGGACACCCACAGCTCCATCAGTGCTCACAGCCCTGTCCCTGACTGTGGCTGACTGCAGGGATGGGGCACCACCACCTCTCTGTGCACCCTGTGCAGTGCCTCAATGCCCTCAGCGTAAAAACTTCTTCCTTATACCCAGTTTAAATCCTCCCCTCTTGGTTTGAAACCGTTTCTCTTTGTCCCATCTCCATCTCCTTTATTACAGCCCTTTTAGATACCGAAGGGCCGTTCAGCTCACTCCGGAGCCTTCTCCTCTCCAGGCTGCACAGCCCCAGCTCTCAGCTCACCGACGAGGCGTTAGTTATTCCTGCAGCACGCACAGCAAGATGTGAAATTAGAACCTACAATCACTCAGGACACATTAAAAATCCACCCAGAGCACCTCTAAGCACACTAAAAACATCCAAAAGTGCACATTCACCCCCGAAAGTAAAAATCTTGAAATTCTTAAACACCAAACCGCATCCCGCTACAGCGAGACCCGGAGCCGAGCATCCCTCCCCGGGCGCGGCACGGCACGGCACGGCGGCACAAAGCCCCCGGCGGCAGTGCGCATGCGCGGCGCCTCCTCCGGCCCGCCCGGTGCGTGCCATTGGCCCCGAGCGGCGTAGCGAGGGCGGGAGGCGAAGCGGGGCGGCCGCGCCCTCCTTTCCTGCCGCCGCTCCCTTCCCGCCGCCCGGTCAAGTTGAAACCCCCGCCCCACGAGTTGGCCGAGTCGCGCGGAGCCGCGGCCCCGCCGGGCAGCGCAGCGCCGTATCGCGAGGCCCGGCCCGGAGAGCGGCTCGCCGAGGGAAGCCGGGCGCTCCGCCGCCGCCTATGAGGGCGCCGCGGGGTCGGGAGAGCCATGGACGGCGGCGGCGGAGGGCTGCCCACCGCCCTGGAGAAGAACGCGGCGGAGCTGACGGTGATGGACGTGTACGACATCGCCTCGGCCGTGGGGCAGGAGTTTGAGCGGGTGATCGACCAGCACGGCTGCGAGGCCATCGCCCGCCTGATGCCCAAGGTGGTGCGGGTGCTGGAGATCCTGGAGGTGTTGGTGAGCCGCAACCACATCAACCCCGAGATGGAGGAGCTGCGCCTGGAGCTCGATCGGCTCCGCCTGGAGAGGATGGACCGCATCGAGAAGGAGCGCAAGCACCAGAAGGTGGGGGAACGGCGCGAGGGATGGCCGTGCCGCCGTGCGGTTGTTTGTTGTTTGTTTTCTTCCTTCCCTCCTGGAAGTTTCCTTCCTCCCTCCTTTTCTCCACCCCTTCCCTGCTCGCCGCATTTCCGTCCCCTCGCTTTTCCCCGCTCCGGGACGAGGAGGCAGCGCTGCTTCCCGCCGGGTCGCTGCGGTAGTCCCCCTTTCTTGTGTAGAGCTTGGGGTGATGTTGAACCCAGGCTTCCTGGCGCTTTCGCGGCTGTTCGGTGCGATCTCAGGTCGGTGTCGGAGCTGCGGAGCGGGAGGAGCGCTCACCCAGACTGCGCTCCGTAGCCTGCTCCCACTGAGGACGTTCCCCCTATCCTGTTTCTGTCCCGGGACACCGCGAGCTGCTCGGCTCACTGCGGTGGAGGTGGCAGATCCGATCTTCACATCGTTCAGATAACAGAGCAAAAGAATTGGTTCTTCCAGCAACTGACCGTGCTCAGTCACTGCTGCCTCATTCCATTCCTGCTCATACGGGGAGGAATAGGGAGGAAATAGGATTTTTGGAGGAGAGACCTCAAGTTTCAAGAGTTGGGCTCAGTTTACGTCTTTTCAAATAGTTCTCTGGGGAACTTCTGCTTAGCTCATGAAAAATCCAAGGTAATTCTTGCATTATTTTGCAGAAGGAATTGTAGGAATAGGGTCTCTGAACGGACTGGTAGAGGATCTGTACTGCCTAAAGCCCTGGTAAGACTCCAGGGTATGAAGTCTACTGGTCTAGAGAATAGACACAGCATACAGCCATGCTTTTGCCCTTCTTGCACATGGCATGTGGAGGTGAGTGGGTGGGCTGTTATGCTGGTCCAGTGCTGTCTATGTAGTCAGATGTCCCCACGTACTTCTGAGACCCCTGCATTGTCAGCCAGCAGGCTGACATTCTTTATCTCAGGTATTAAAAATGCTGCCTGGTGAAATGAATACAGAACTGGGCCAGGTAGCAACGCACCCAGTATCCTTGCACAAGTTGACAGCCTGCACAGAGGCTTCTGAAGTCCATGTATGTGTTAAAAAGTTTCCTGAAAGTGTCAGCTGCCAAAGGCTGCCCTTGCCAGATGTCTTCTGATCCCTGCCAACTCACATCTCTGCTCTGCCAGCGTCTGTCGTAGTCATGAGATGCCTCTGGGTGTGTTCAGACAGCCCAAATGGAACTTTGCTGGGAACTCACTGAACAAGGAAAACAAAATATGCAATGCGTACAGATATGTTTTTTAAATCACGTTGATTGCCAGCACACTGTGTCACTGCAGACCAGCAGTGTCACATCCAGTTTATTCCCACCATAAGAAGACTCTTATGTCTCAGATACTGGTAAGCAGAAAAGGCCAGAGACTGAGAAATGTTTGTGCACAAGAAGCATCCAAAAGCCAATCCAGACATGTTTTTAGTGGTCCTTTAGCACTCAGCTTTCACGTGGGAATGTGTTCTGCCTCCAAACCTGGCTGAGCATGCCTGCAGTTTCCTAAGCTGACTGGCACCCGCTGGTCCATCAACCTCCTGCCTTCTCTGTCTGATACTTCTGCTAATGAGGGCTCAGAAGCTCATTTCTGCTCCAATTCACTGGGCTCTTCAATAGCAATAAATAAGAAAGTTTGCTGAGTTAATCCTTAGTATAGCCTTTACAGTGCAGCCACATATGTAAGTTCAGAGAGTCTGGTGGGTTTTTTTTTGTTTGTTTTAAATCAGTGTGCTTGTAACTGAAATCTGCTGTTTCATTTTTCAAACTAGGTCAGCATGTTGTTCTAGCTGCAGAGTTATATGCAGCCTCATTGTAAATAGTCTAGGTATTTGGCAATATTAAGTTTCATTGCAGATTTGTATTTCTCAAGATAAAGAGTTTCGAGTAAAATTAGCAGTGATTTATGAAATATCCTTAATGAAGTCTATCAATCATGATAGACAATCTGTTGTTTATCATATTATTTGTCATGTTGTGTTTTCTGCAAAACAGCATGCAAGGAGATACTGTAAAATGACAGCAATGCCACAATAAATGCTGGAATAACATAGTATTTGGACCTGGAAGTCAATAGGAATATGATTTCCCATTATTGAAGCATACTTTCAAAGCAGAAAGCTGTCCTTTAATCTCCCAGCAGAGCTTATTTTAGCCTGGAGCTGTGCTTGGCAGGGTTGTTTGAGTGTTTTGTTGTTAGGTAGGAGAGGGATGTGCTGGATGAATGCAAAAGCCAGCGAGTGACTCAGCTGGCTCCAGTGATTTGCGTGCAGGTTTTTTTGTTTGCAGCACATACATGAAATGGAGCAGAGAATGTCCCTCACTGCAGAAGCATTGCTTATGGCAGATACGTTTTGAACAAGCTCTAAATGGAACGGTTTCTTCTTAAGCACTTATACTTTTTGTCCTAATTTGACCTTTACTGGGATTGGTGACAGCTGCTGTTGACACACAGTGTTCTGACAAATGGGAGCTGTTGTTTTGGCCAGTCTCGCTGCCACTAACAGAGATGCCACTGCAGCCTTTCATATAGAACAAGTTCTGTAAGAAGCAGCACAGTTTTGCCTTGTTTATCATTTGGATTGGCAGCTCTGGGTTTGCTGCACAGTGTCACGTGCTGGTTTTACGCTTGTGCTCGTAACAAAAATTGAACTGAGAGATGTTACTCCTTCCAAAAGGGTGTGCCTAGCACTGACCCCCCATTGCCCACGCTGTGATGTTTCTGGGGCATTTATAACAGCCTTTGCAGCTGCTTCCTGAGATGTGGAAGGCAGCTCTTGCTCACGTTTGGCTGTCTTGACCAACACAGCAATCCCTTTCGTCAGGTCCTCACAGTAAAATGAGGAGAATTTCCCTTTGGGTAAATCGTGTGTCAAAAATGTTTGCACCAAGAAGTGACTCCATGTATTATTTATGTGCATAAATGGCTCATATTGGAGCAGCACAAAGACTGGGGTTCTTCATGCTGGCATTGGAAAAGTAGATAGAAGATATTCAAGTAGTCTCATGTGATTGTTTTCTGTGAGAGTCATAGAGGAATTGTAGTGGTTTGATCTGTACATCGTTCAAAGACTCTTAGTATGCTCAACATGTTGTCCTGGTGTATCCTTTAGGAATTAGAACTGGTGGAAGATGTCTGGAGAGGTGAAGCACAGGACCTTCTTACCCAAATTGCACAGCTGCAGGAGGAGAACAAGCAGTTGATGACAAATTTGTCTCACAAAGACATTAATTTCACAGAAGAGGAATTTCAGAAGCATGAAGGTAAGTTTGATATTTCAAGTTCAGCACCTGCTTTTGTTATAAAAGCAATACTTTATCAAAATATTTTGACTAAACATTCTGGCTTTCTGGCTTTTTTTTTCCCATAACACAGCAGGCTTGTAGCTTTTTTTTTTTTCTTTTTTCCTTTTAACCTAAATAGAAAATTTCTGAACAAGGGGTTACACTGGAGACTTAGGAGGCAGGAGCAGGAGGGAGAGAGAAGCCTGAGCAGCTTTGTTGGGCTGGAATTATGTCTGAAAGTAAAGTCTAGCATCATTTTTTGGTCTGTTGCTTTTTTATCTTTAGGTAGCGTTTTGCAAACAGAATTCTTCATCCCTCCTTATGTTTGCTAACACAAACAATGATCCATTCAGCAATGTTTATTTCACACCATTGTGCACAAAAAGAAGTGCAGCTGGCAATCTATTCAGGATGTTTGTTTGTAAAGCAGAAAATCAAGATTTGTCTCAATTACAGCAATTCATCATACAGAGATATTCTAAAAGACTAAATTGAGAGACTTTCTTTGGTTTATTTCCCTTTAGGATTCCTTCACCCGTTCAAGACTCTTCCAGACAGTTTAGAGTAGGTGAAGAGATGTATGAACCAGGGAGTGGGTGAACCCTAAGGAGCTGAAACAACTGATTAATTCATGAGCAACTTCTTTCTTGAGGCAGAATGAATTTTGAGACAAAAGGTTCTGACTGGCAACTGCAGGTAGATTCCACTGCAGTAGCTGAAACAATTGCCATCCTCAGCTCTTACCCAGCTCAACAAGCAGCTCTTTGCTAAGAGTGAGGGCAAAGGAGCAGATGTCTGTTTGCTTTCCCAATTCATAGCATGTGATTTGAGCCTGCTGGCTATGAAGTCCATTTCATGATACTTTGCTAGGAGTTTAAGCTGAGGAGTTGAAAAAAATGACTGTTTAGCTTTGAGGATGAAGCAGCCTTGAGGTTGGCAGCTGAGAATGGTGACAGCAGCAAAACCTGGCTGTGATTAGATGAGTTAGTCTGGGAAGGATGGCTCTCTGAACTATTTGTGCATGAGCAGGACTCTGGCACACTGCTTCAAGCCACAGCTTCACTTTCACATTGGGTTCTGACTGTCAGTGAAGTTGTAGCTCCCTCAGAAGGCTCATGTCACATCTAGCATGCAAAGTCACTGGCCAGCCTGAAAACCAGACCACCCAGCTGAGCCATGTGGTCCAATAAAGGAGGAGCAGCTGGATATCCTTTTCAGACACTGGAGGGTTGGGCTTAAATTGCAGCTCACTGTTGGTGGGTGAAACTGTCTGACACTGCTAAGTTACCTCTGCTTTCCACTCAGGAGCTGACTACAAAGAATTAAATTTAAATTATAAAACCGGAAAATTAACTGATTTTTTTTTTTTAAGTTTTATTTTACTTTTTCAATAAAAATTATTATCTTTCTAAAACAAATGCAGCTCTTTCAGCTTAGTCAGTTTATGTCCTAAAAGTAGCTCCATGTCAGCCCACAAACTCCATGTAACGTGTCAGAAAGGCAGTTATGAGTCACAGGCCGTGAAGGCTGACATTGTTGCAAAGAACCATCTTCCCCTTTGTCTTCTCACCTTTTTTTCCTCTGGGTATCTAGCTCACTGGAGCTCATGTGCTTGTATTTAAATATAGCCATACTCTTTACATTCAGCTAGCCAAGCAAATGCCACACATGCTTTTCATGTTATTTTTACTGTGTCTACGCAAGTATAATAACAAACAAATCCATTCCAGAGATGACATTCTGGGGTCACTGATATTTACTGGCTGAAATGGTCAACTTAAGTGAAGTCACAGTAATTTACAGCAAACTGAGCTTGTTGTTGGGACCTGTTATATCAAACTCAATTGCTTTCCATTTAGGAAATTATGTCATTAATGAGCAGGTTTGTCTCAAATTACTTGTTTGGACAGTGTCAGAAAGCAGTCATGTTGCTTTTTTTCTCCTCTCTGTCATTTGATCTGATGCATATAGGCTCTACAGAGGCTGGTTTTCAAGTGAAATGCTTTGTTAGCTAGATTAACTTTGACCAGGCTCCAATCTTCATATCTCAGCATGATTTGGTGCTGTGATCATGTCTCCCCTTAGCTGCTAACTCTCCCAGGATTAGCAATTGGCTGCTTACTCACCACACAGTTAGTAAAAGGAATTGTTCTCAGCTCAGGCAGCAGAAGCCAGTGATTTAGGTGTGCTAAGGCTTTGAGATTCAATCCTTGCCAATTAATAGTCACGTTGTAGTGCACAGAGCCTCACTTCAGCTTAATGAAGATGTTTATGAGGGAGATCAGCACCATCACACCTAAGGTCTCTGAACAGAACGTGCACGTGCTCTGAAAATTAGAGCAGAGCAGCATTCATAGAAAAGGGCACATGTGGCAGAATACAAAATAAACAGGAGGGGTTAAAGATAAATTTGCAGCATCCATTAATGCTACTCCTCCCTGAACTCAAACAGAGCAGTTATGTGGAGATGCTGGCTGATCACACTCTCCTAGCAAAATGCCACAAGCGAACTTGACCCATGTGTCAAACTGGACAAGCAGGCTGCTGTTTCTCTGCTGGGAGAGGAGGTGCTCTCTCAGACTTGGCCATGATAATACAGACAAGCAGCAGGATGCCAAGAGTCATGTACACCTCCTGTGCTTGGCTGCAGAGGAGCCTACCATTCCCTTTCCAAAGTGAAGGCAAATTTTTATTGTGAGTCTTTAGGAAGTAGTAGTGCCACGACCTCTGATCAGTGTTTTGGTCTGCTATAATGGATGTTGTATAAATACATCAGTAAACAGTTTCCTAAGTATAAACATGAAGGATGTTCTTTTTTGCCTTTTCTCTTTTTTTTCCTTAATGTTTTTCTTTCTTTACTCCCTGGAACAATGCTGTGATCTCAGCAATTAACAGGAAGCTGTGAATTCATAGGATGTGTCTAGGGAAGCCAGCTGGGTGTGCCATTTAAGATCTTGCAGATATTAGACTTGGAGTCATTTAGAGATAATTACGTTCAGAGCACTTAGTGATTTCCCTCCCCACTTCCCCAGTGCTGGAGAAAATGGAAGGCAATGTGTGATGTTTCACAAACACTTCCCACCTGTCCTTTCCCCTCCTCCTGAAATAAAAAGGATAATGTAGTAAGCAGTGCACACAATTAAGTCTTTGATGCTCACCAGATGTTAGAGAGAAAAGTGAGCATAGTGGGAGGAGAAGCAGTTAGCACCAAAATGGTTCTTTATCCTTTAAATAGCACCTGCTATCTAAAGATCTCAAAGCATTACACAAATACTAATGAATATAGCTGCACTCACTGTTCCTGGCTCTTACTGGGGTAAAACTGCTGGTCTGAAGCCTTGTTGCAGCCCCTCTGTACCCCATGGCAGTTTAGGAGTTTTGTGTTTGTTTGTAAATACAGCTGATTTTTTAGACTCAGCCCTGAGACTGCCTGCAGAAGAGTGGATTCAGGATCCTTTTTGTAGATGCAGCGGTTCAAGAACTGCAAGTAAACGAGAGCAAGTTGTGGGAAGGAACCAGTGCTCAATTGCACTGGCTGGTGTGAGGGTCCTTGTCTGGCACTGGTTTTTGGCTTCAGCACAGCTCCATCCAGCTGTTACCAAGTTTCTACGATCTCGTCTGGTGTCGCTGTGAATAGGGGAATAAATCAGAGGTTTGGGGATCTGTCCAAGATCAGAGATGTGTCAAAGCAGGGCATAGGCTGCCTGCACTCCAGACCTTGGTTTTGAGAGATCACAGATATTTGAGAAGAGCAAGTAGCAGTGCGTATCAGTGTCCCTAGTGGGTGTGAGCCATTATCACAGTGAGGAATTAGAAGTATCATGGCCCTGTTAGTGTTCTTGGTCTCAGCAGCTCCTACTTGTCCTTAGTTTGTTTTCTGTGTTCTTTTTTTAACCAGGAATGTCAGAGAGAGAACGGCAAGTTATGAAGAAGCTGAAGGAAGTTGTAGATAAACAGAGGGATGAAATCAGAGCAAAGGACCGGGAACTCGGACTTAAAAATGAGGATGTAGAGGCTGTAAGTGGCTCTTGCTCTTCCCGTTTCCCTTCTTTCTCACCCATGTTTCTATAGCCTTCTTTCACATATAATATCAAATTTGTAAGCAGTGCCAGATATCAGTCTGGTAACTGAAGAGTGCAGCGTAACTGGAGCGTCCAAAATGATCAGGCAGTCAGGCGGGCACGCGGCCCCTGCTGCATTTGGATTCAGTTGCATTTAGTCTTAAGCAAGTCACAAACTCCACTGTGACCTTGGGAATCAGTTGATGACTTACATCCGTCTGTGTTACAGCCACCTCACATGTATTTTGCTTCCCATCCTCACCCAAGGGATCGAAGCAAAGTATTTACAAATTGAAGAGTAAGAACTTCTCTGTCTCATCTTCCTCTCCTCTGCTCTGGGTTAAGATATTATTCAGAATCCTGGAAACCACCCTGTCCTTGAACTTTGCTTTTACAAAGTAAAATATTGGAAAAGATGAACTTGTTTTTAGCTGGAGAATTCCCTGTGCTTGGGGGAAAGTACCTGATTTTACTCTGGAAGCCAATTAAAGAATTTTTAGTCTAATTTAAACTGCAACTGTGGTAGGAAATTAGATATTAAAAAAACTGCCTGGGGAGTGAGGAGAGTTTTCCAGATTAAATTTAATAGGAACCCGCTACTTGTTCTTTAATGTAGTGTTTGGGATTTGGTCACCATGGGCGATGGCTGAATGGATGTTGACAAACTGCATCAATGTCTTAACAGCTTCAGCAGCAACAGAACAGGTTAATGAAAATTAACCATGACCTGCGGCACCGCATCACAGTTGTCGAGGCTCAGGGAAAGGCACTGATTGAGCAGAAGGTGGAGTTGGAAGCATATCTGCAAACCAAGGAGCAGGAGATGGGCACCCTGCGAGCAGAGCTGGGGAAACTGAGGGAAAAACTGCAGGGTGAGGACAGCCAAAATGGGGAGGAGATACAGGTAAGAGGCATTTTAAATAACTTTTTAAGAACAATCTTTTACAGAACCTCAGTCTCCATACCAAGCACCTCTTGTTTGGGGAAGTGAGATTGACATGAATCAGAGGCAGAGGTGGGGCTCAAGGACAGCATGGTTTTATTCAGGTGTGGCACAGAGGTCAGCGTCGCTCACTGCGCTGTCACAGGAAAGGCCCTGAGTGGATGACAACCCAATGGAACAGAACCCTCCTTTCTAATGCACAGAACCAGTTGTGCAAAAGGCAGAGTGGCAGGACAGGTTAGCACTAGGATGTCTGCATTAGAGGACAGCTCTCCCCTGAGACTTGGTGTCACATTGCACTTTCTAGGGAGCGTAATCTTTTGGTCATGCACTAGACTGCAGAACTCTCCAGATAGCAGAACAAATCATTGCTTACTATGGCATTCTACTAAAAGCATCGTAAGGGAGTCCAAAATCTCTGGAGTACCAGCTGTTAGTTTGTATTCACAGCAGACTGTTTTGGTAGTGCTGTGTCTGTACATTTGGGTTTATTTTATTTGCTCAGATCAGCCCCTTCCCCTAAAGGAAAACAAACTGATCTTCTAGCAGTCTGGATTTTTGAAAAGATGAACAGCTGACAGGTAGCTTAAGCCTTGTTGAGTATGTATGCAAATCTGCAAGTCCTAGTGGGTCCTGAAGGTGCAATGCACTACGATAGCAGAGGCACAGTACCTCTGTACCACAGTATGAACCACAGTAGAAAGGGAATTGTAGCTGAAGTCCCAGAGGGAGAGCAGAATTCTGCAGTCAGATCATACCTGAGGGCAGAATGCCAGCATGCAGTGCAATGTGCCTGCTTTGCCTGAAATCCCTGCTTTATTTTACATTCTTGAAGTACTACCTACCATCTTTTGGCTTTTGTGCATGTGACACTACTTCTGTCTTTCTCAAGTGAAAGTGCTGTTTCCCTTTCCTAATGCTGCCTTTAGAAGAGCACAAAGTAGGATAAGGAGTCTTGTGATATGAAAGAATTTGGAGGAGCACTGAGGCATAGTGCTCTTTGGCTGTGTTGATAAGAGCTCCAGTACTGAGCCATGTAAGAAGCACAGCAGCACTGTATGTGCCTGAGAGACTGCAGCTGAGAGCATAACATTTAATTCACTTGTAATGGGAGAGAATGTACATCAGAAAGCAGAGGCAGAAGCTGATGGGGTAACCTGGTACCTCACGAAGGCAACAGCGACTCAACATGTCACTGCTGAATTGGGCAAGCGCTGTATTAATAATGACAAGGATGACTTCATTGCTTTTAATTCAGCCAGGACACCCAGCTTTGTAAACAGGGCTGCAGAGCATAGGCCTAAAGCCAGAATGTGTGAAAGTGTCTTCAGTCTTTGGAGAGAAAGGATGCATTCTTTACCTCTCTCTGTTCCATGGCAATGGTGCCACTTCTAATTAGAGTCGTTGTCCACTTTCTCTGCCAGGATGATAGTTAGACAGGAATTGTAGTGGTAAGCAGAAAGCTAGAATAGCTGCATGCTCTGGAGTGGATGTTGCTTCTTGGCTTTGGTCAAGTACATTTGCATTGGCCACAGGCTGCTCAGTTTTTGATTTTAGCAAAATACAGCAAAAAAAAAAAAGATTATTTGGGGAAAGGTGTGGGACAATCAAAAGAAGAGGCATCAACTCAGATTCTAATTTAGAAGTGTGAAGAAGAAGTGAATACTTTGGGTAAGCTCCTCAAACTGTCATTAGGGTGCATCTATATCTAGTACAGTCTGTGTAAATAAATGCATTTGGATTAAGGGGGGAATCAAATAAATGGGAAAATGAGCATTGCTCTGCTGTTTTGTCTCTGTGTTTCTTCAAACTTGTAAATCCTGGTGCTAATATCAATCCTGTTTTTTTAAACAAAGGCATTAGGGTGACAGAAACTTAAATCTCTGCTTCATATATTCACATCCAGAGACACTTTCTCTTTGTGGGAAAAACTGGAAGGAACTGTCAGGATTTTTGCTATGCTATTTTTTCAGTGTTTACATAAAGGCTGGTGTTTGATACACCTTATTTGTTAAAAGTATTAATTCCTTAAATGGACTTGTTTATCAGAAATTAGACCATACATTTTCAGAGGGCTTTCTAGCAGTCTGCATTCCCCAGGAATTTCTCCATAAGAAATCTTACCTCCTGTGTGGTGGCTCAGGTTGGACCCAGTGTTTAGGCTGGTAGAAGCAATCAGGGCATGTGGTTTTGTGTTCCCACTGTGTGTCGTTGGTCCGTCTGAGCACCAGAAAGAACAAAGCGATCAGATCGCTGAGCTATTCCTGCTGACAGTCTTCAGCATGAATTCCTCCTACATTTTTTTCCTCTTAAAACTGCTGTTCCTCTTGAAAGTGTATTTAATAGTGCTAAAAAGAAAGAAGGGTAATAGGCTGATAAATACTTTCAACTTCTCAGAAATGTGTTCACACAATGAATTCAAAGCCTGTCTTACACTTCCTAGACAGAGCCAAACAATGATGACTGCCTCTCGGAGTCAGAAAAGATGGCAATGGACTTAAAAGATCCGAATCGTCCAAGATTCACCTTGCAGGAGCTCCGAGACGTCCTTCATGAGAGGAATGAATTGAAATCTAAAGTGTTTTTACTTCAAGAAGAGCTTTTATATTACAAAAGGTAAGTTAGATTTCCTCTCCCGTTGCATGCTACACACAGAGGAGCTGTAGAGCAGCTCTAGGAGACAGCAGATGTGCTCCTGAATGCTCTCAGCAGACAAAGGCTGAAAGTAGATACTGAAAGCATAAGGGCTTTAGGTACTTTAGTTTATAACTGTTTTCTCAACGCTGGGAAAAACGATGTCCATCTTAACTCCCAGATTCTCCCCCAGTTTTGGAAGAATTACAAGCATTTAATAAATGTTAGCTGAAAAAAATAAGGATAAGACTGGGACTAAAATTGAGATTGTAGAATTTTTATTCATTGTCTACTTCTTATGCTTTTTCTTGTCACAATGGAAAGAAAGTACTGAAAGGAGGCCCAGTTTTAAGTGCTGTTTCTTAGTTGACAGAAATTTCCCCCATTTAATTTAATAAGCTTGGAACAGATCTTTTACCTTTCTTCATAAGTAGTACTGCTTTAGATTGACTGTTAGAACTTAAAGCTTCCATGACTTGAGAGGACAACATTAATTATCTTTTCATTCTTTCAAGTGAGGAAACAGAAGAAGAAACTAGACCCCCTCAACCTACACCCATAATTCAGTCAAAACCCTCAACTCAGCCTGAGTCTGGAATCAAACGACTGTAAGTAGCATATTTTCTAAGGATCCTGGAAATAGTCTACAAAAGCAAAACATTTCCTTTGGGTAGGGCAGTTTTTGAAGATATTCAAAATTAAGGTAGCCACATCCCTATTGTATATGGGACAGATGTTGAGTGGCTGTGTTTTCTCCAGAAAGGAATGTTGGAGCTTGAAGTTCAAGTCCCAGTTCCTTAATGCACAGTCCCTAAGGTGGTGGAATGTCACAGGCAAACCACTGGGCCCCAGCTCATGCTTGGGAGACATGTGGAAAGCATTGTTCACAAGTAAAACCAACTGCAGACCTTCAGCATTTGGGTGTGGAGAGTCAGCTTTCCCCGTGACCTTGCTGTGCCTGTTTCCTTGTTAATTTAAGCCTTTAGATTCTGACAAGCACTTATAGAGCACAAAAACTTTTTGTTTGCTCAACTGCCTGGTGAGAGAGGGTGCCAGCTTTTTGGCTATGAAGAATCACACCCTCTTCTGATGAAGTATTTAATGGTGCTGTCCAAAAGCTAAGTTTACTGTCAGCTGTACTAGTTACAACTTGGTTATAAAGTCAGTGTAAGCCAAACCATTTGTCTGTCAAAATTCTTTCCTTCCATGTTTTTTTTTTCCAAACTAAGCCTTTGGAGTTGTTACAATACTGGAAGCTTAACTTTTTAAACTGCATACATTATTTTATTTGTTTGCCCATAAAAAGCTCCTCCATCCCCACATCCATAAACTCCAGACCTTGTTTTGTCATAGCAGCAGCCCTGTGAGAGTTTCCTGGGAGATCTGGGCTGATCCAAAACACCATAAAGTCAGGAGGGCACTTGTGATTATTTTCAGAAGTCTTCAGCTTCCTTCTCTGCTGCTTTGTTTGCTGAAGAACCCTTGCTCTCAGATGGCTGGAAAATACACTGAATTGGGACTTAAGTTTTCATTCTGCACCTGCAGTAATACTTCATCTTGCAGGATCTGTCTCTGTTGTAATTCTTCTCCTTTCCTTTAAATTCTTTTAGTGCTTTTTTAGGAGGTTTTGTAAGTCAGAGCACGTGCTCTCCAGGTGTTAGCCTTGACTCTACCTTCTGCATGCATACATAAGCAATGCAGGGAGCCATGACAGGAGGCATAGAAGTGTTTTCACCAAGTTACTGTGATGATTTCTTCTCCTCAGTTAGTTTATCATTGAATACCTGCTGAGCATCATACTAATCATTCAATCAGTGCACATTTTCAGACACTTATCTTCCTGTTGCTCAGATTCTGTGTTTAAATATATTTAAATGAAAACTCACACAATAAAAAGTAAAAGCTTGTTGTGTTGGCCCCTGTCAGAAAAGGCAACAATCCTGTTCTTTCTGCTCTCTCTTCACTTCGCTCTCACATTAAATAAGGGAAGATAAAGCCACTGTGCTACTTAACTAATCCAAACGGTGGTAATTGTGTTCATATTTGTCTCATTCTTACAGCCTGTCTGGATGGGATCTGTCAGGTTTATTTTCTTTGCCCCATCTTCCCTGTGTTTGTCATCAACACTGTGCTTGTGGATGGGTTACTTCTACAACCCAGACAGTTCTCAGAGTGGCTGACAAGGGGCAGCCGTGACCTTTGAAAAGAGAGGAGATTTCACTGCTGGGAAAAGCAAGGAACCCATATGTGGCATCTGCTCTGTTCTATTACAACACCTCCACATACTCTTCTGGCCTTCTCCTTGTCACAGGCAGAACACTGCACCTCACCTGTGACTGTGTAGGTAACACACTGACACACAAAGTCTACATACTTAATGACATGAGGAAAACTTGTGCCTCTGCTGTCTGTGTTCAGAGTACTTTTATGAATGAAAGTAGCGTTGCTTTGCCTTCTCTTTCAGGCTTTTCCTCCTGACCAAACAAAAAGCTGAGTACAAAAACATTTTGAGACTGATACTGCAGTCCCAAGAGAAGTTTCACTCTTGCTTGTATGATGTGCCCTTTTTTTCTCTCCCATCTCAAGGAATGAGATGTGTCCCCTGCCATCTAAGATGTTTCTGTGCAGCACTCACATAAAGAAAACAGAAGTTAGAGTACTCAGTATTTTTTTGTTGCTGGTATCTGCAGGTTTGGCGCAAGCTCTGACTGCGTTCTGATCTTGCACTCATTTGTTTCTACATGTCTACCACATTATATGTCAGAGTTTTGCTGAAATAACGTAACCAGGTTTACTGAGGAGGAAGAGTACAAGGATTAGAAATGTGCCCTGTGTTTTGAGCAGAAAATGCCCTATTGTTTTTACTTCAAGGATACGGGCTTGTTTGTCACTGACGTAATGCCTGAAGCAGCCATAAGTTCCCTTGCTATTCTTGCAGTCTACAAAAGCTGATGTGTCTGTCTGGTTGCTGCAGCTGAGTGTGTCACAGTGCTTAAAAGCAGACGTTCTAGCTACTGCAAATGATAGAACAATGTTTACTTGTATGTTTTCATTTTGAATTTAAAATTAGCAGTTAAGAGTGGCTGTGTTGGGGAGAGCTGCATTTGGTCACACGTGAAATGCCTTTCCTGATTTCTACTTAATCTTTAACTGACATTAGTCCACAGTTCAAAAAAATATTTGGCACAAGGGAGAACCTCTGAGGAGAATCCTTAGAAAAACAGAGGGTGTTCCAGGTATGGATGAAGGTTTGTTGGCAGGCTTGTGTGGGGCTGGCTGGGCACTGAGCTCCCAGCCAGCTTGCTCTCTCAGGCTCTAAATTGCATGAATTGTACAATGCCTAGTAGAAGTGCTGAACTGTTACAAAGAAGTGGTCTTGCTGCTGGCCAGCTAGGAAATACTTCTGCTAGAGTAGTTGCAAGGTTTCAGACAAACATTTAGCTGCCTGCAGTTAGCATCTTTTTGCATGTGAAGCAAAGCAGGTTCTTGTGGAGCAGATATGCAGGCCCTTTAACCAAGTAGCTTGCTTAGGAGGTTATTTTAAGATTTCAGATGTGGTGTTGGTTTTTAACTTAAAACTATCAGCTGTAACATTTGTAGAGTCTTTATGTGCAGTGCTGGTCCTGTCTAACCCTGTTTTCTGTGCAAGTAGCCAGTAGTCACAGCACTGTCCTGTTTTGTATTTAACTCACACCTTCATCCTTCATTTCATTGTGTATGTGCCTGTTTGTTTCTTGGGAAGAAAAACGTGCACTCTGCTCTGCATTGCTAGAGGTGGTAATACCTTGAGAAATCCAACCCAGATGTTTCACAACAGAAAAGTGGTATCTTTTAGAAATTCAAAAGCAATTAAATCTGTTTCAATGACTTCATTTTCTAAATAAGAGGTTTTCACTAAGGAGAGCTGTCTTGGGTGATGCAGATCCACCTCTCCCTGTAATACGTCGTGTGTGATAATTCAGAGTAACCCCGTGTATTATGTTTGTGTCTTTTCTTTTTAATGGAATGCTTTTTCTTTCCCTTGCTCCAGTCTTACCTCTTCTGTGTCTGTACTTTCCTGACCAGGATCTTTACAGCCATAATGCCCATGGTAGCAGCTGGATTGATTCCAGATGATCCCACATTGCAGCCAATAAGAAGACTTGTGTCCCTTGTAGGATTTATTTTTTGTTAATGTTTGGTACCGTGTTTTCCTTCTGCATGGCCCTGTTAACATGGACTGCTGGTTGCATTCTCATCGGCTGCCTGTGGGATCACAGAAGCACAAAGTGCCCATCAGAATGACCAGTCAGTGCACCACCTGCCATAGTCCTCCGTGCTCATCCTCGAGTACTGACATTTTCTCACCTTTTGCCTTACTGTTACCATGCTAAGCCAATCATTACTCACCAGAAAACCGTTACAACATGCAATTTTAACCCGAATCTCTGAATTTTACTTAGCTTACTAAGACAGCCTATTGATAATCCACTCCAATGCTTTTAAAAGAACCCAAATCATTCTAATTACTTGTTACGAGTCAGTTAGATTCACAGAACATAACGGTTGAATCTCTACATTAATTTCCAGTGTTAATAATAGACTGTTGCTTCCATGTCTTTCTATCTATGTGCTGTAGATTTTGTCTCTAATTATGTATTTTGGGAATAGAGTGTGCTCTCTCAGTAACCAATTCTGATGCCCTATTCTTGACTCTTGCTGGAGGAGATGCTGGTAACTGTTAAAGCAAATTCTCTTTGCATTGGAACTGCTGCTTTGGAGGTCTTTATATCTACAGCAGCAACACAGTATTTACATTTCTTTCTTCTCCATAAATATGCTTTTTTGAAACATTCTCCATAAAAAGAGGCGTAAGAACAGTTTTCACTGTTTCAGAAGGAATTAAAAATAGGCCAATCCTGCCTGGTGTCAAGATTTTACAAACGCTGTTTTCTCTTACTTAATTTCATGATAAAAAGTGGAGAAAAAAAATACTGAACAGTTTCATTGCAAACTTACTACATAAATAGAGGTACTAAGGTACTAAGCCTGATGGTGCCCAGCAGAAAGCCTCAGTGACTGGACACTTCTCAGCTGAATTGACTCTGGCCCTGAAAAGAAATACCATCCATGTGTGAATTTATGGGCTCCTGTGATGAGGGTGGTAAAAAAAAAAAAAAATATATGAGACTAATTAAGTGCAGAAAGACTGATTTCCCTATGAAGTCTGCACACTTGAAGCCAGGAAATGCAAAAGTTCAGGTCCTGCTAGTTACCTTGCATTGCCCTTGTGCAGCCTTTTACAGCTTTCAGGTCAAGTTACCATGTTAGTAATGTTAGAAATTACCAATATGCTTAGCTGTGTATACAATTGGATGTTGTTGGGTTTTTTTACTTCGAAAGCTGCCTTAAACATTGTCTGACACTCACGTGCAGCCCCCTGTGTGCCTGGGGACACTGAAGGCAGAATTCCCTGCTCTGCACAAGGCTGTGTGGAAGGTTGGGATCCTGGTACTGAGAGGAGACTGAAGGGTGTGTGGGTAGAGAAGTTTGGATAGAGGGTCAGGTTTATGCCCTGACGAATATCCCACCTTCTGTCAAAGCTGAGTTTATCTTTACACAGAAGCATTCAGCAGTTCTCTTGATACTGTGCAAGCAAACCAGTATTTACCACAGAGAGTGCAGCATTAAAACCAAAAGGGTGTGAGGCCAATTCAAACCTTTGGTGTGTGGAACCAAAACTTTTGCATTTCTCAGCAGACCTAAGCACAGTGCTAACAGCTCTTCTACTGAACTCGTTACAAGATTTGAATTTGCTTAATCAAGTAACTCCATGCTATACAAAAATGATACTAAGGATTTTTTCCAACTGTACCGTTTAGCTGTGTTGTAAGCTGGCAATTTGTTGTTGTATTAAATGGCTGTTGGTTCACGTGTGTCATTATCTTACAGCACCCAAGCCGTGTGACAGGAAATGACGTGCACACTCGTGTGCGTTTGCTTAGAGCCTCCATCCTGCACACTCTTGTGCACCTGAGTGCAGTTATTCATTTACATTTGCAGCAGTTGAGTCTATGCAACAAAATGTGCTCACCTGGAAAAAATTGTGGAGGCTTATTTTCTTATCTTATGAATTTCTCTGCTGGCACCACTAAGAATATCCTCTATTTCTGCTTTATAATAAATTATACAGATTTAACACTAAAGATACCACTTTACTTATGCTAAGAAACTAACCTCTATTTTGTGGCTTCTGTATTTTGGGGCTGGGGGAGGAGGAACATACATCTAAACTGATAACTGCACTTGTAGAGTCAACAGCATTTAGAGCTTATCTGAAGCTTCCATAGCAAAGCTGCTTGAGATTTTGCAATGACTTCATCTCTAATAACATTTTGACATGCACTCCCATCAGGCTTCACCGCCTTGGTTTTTGTGGATGCCAACAGATTTTTTTGCTCTGTGTTTTGTTGTGCTGTGTGCTGTGGTGGGCGTGGAGGTGTTTTCAAGATGGTAAACAGTATTCTTTCTTTTCCCTCCTCTCCCTCCTTCCTACTCGGAAGGTTTAGTTTCTTCTCTCGTGATAAGAAACGTATGCAGGCATCACAGAAAAACGTCCATTTCCAGGATACTTTTCGTGAATGGTCAAATTCAAATAAAGATGACACCTACACAGAGCAAGGACAAGAAGCCCTGCAACACCTGTGACTAAAAGCCTGAGCTTCCTGCAGAACATCTCAACAGTGTAGTAACAAGAAGCTTCTGTGAACAGATCTGGCAGTTCATGGTCTTTATTTGCCTTGCACGCTGCAGTGGTTGTGTTCCAGATGAACTCCTCAAAAGGGATCACTCACTGTTTACTTGGTGACTGCTGAAAACGGAATCCAAGCTTTGTAGGAGCAGTTGATACCCGGGGACATTGAAGCTTCTAGATGACTTGTTTTGTGCTGAATAACAAGTCTATGGTCTTGTTTGTGCATTAACTACAGTAACACAAGCTTATCTAAACCAAAAAAAAAAGACCTGTGCCATTATTAGAAGTTTGTTTGCGGTGTACAATATCTATTGGCAAAGACTCTGTCACCTTATTTGTTAAAACTTTTGGTTGTTTGCTTTTTTGTAACTTAGTAAGAATTTTTTCAAGAGGGTTACCACAGCTGGCCGCTCTCCCTGCAGATTGTAGCACTGCTGTGTCCTGTCCAGTTCACTCCTGCATTTTGCAGAGTAACCCCTTGGAAATCCACCTGATAGAAAATGACAAACTGGAGTAGCCTCAAGAGGGATAAGGAATGTACATTTCCCTTGATGCTTACAGTGCCTAAAGCATGAAGAAACCCACGTGTGAGGTGAGCGTGCCTTGCTTTTTGCCATGAGTTCTGCAGTAGTAATGGAAAAAGAATTGCTTACAAGGAAGAATTCTAACACTTGAATTTTTTCTTTCTTACCAGAGACTTTTCCCTAGAGTAGCAGACAGCTGCCATAAAGGAGTTAGGTCCCCTTCCCATAGGCAGGTTTTGATTTAAGTCACACTCCACTTTTCTGTCTAGGTAAGACTGCCTAACTTCAGAGTAAAAGACATCCTCAGCTGACATGAGCTATCTTAACTGACTCTGAGATGACCCCAGCTCAAAATGTTTTCTTTTTTCTGACTACCCTAAATATTACTTAGGCTGGCAGAGATGTGTTCTGTATGTGCAGGTTGCTCCGCTGGCATTGACTGATGTGTGGGCAGCCAGCAAGCGGAGGAGCTTAACTCTTAACTCACCATCAAAAGCCCAGCACGTGAATGCATCTGAACTGGCAGGAGGTGGGGTCTACATCTGCTTTGCAATTAATCATGCAAGACCCTTGGGGCTGACCAAGGTCATGCTTGCCTAAACCAGAACACTAAAGCCCCACGCAGCATAATTACTACGTGTGCACGGTCTGTGGCAGTGCACAACCCAGCTTTGCACCTGTGGGCAATTTGTGCAGGCAGAGCTGGATGCAGGTGGCTGAGGATGTCCTGAAGAATACTTAGATAAGAGCAAACCAGAAGGTTCAGTGCAGGCCAGTTGCACTCAGTCCAGGATGATCCAGCAACAGGTTTGTTAATGCATACAGGCAGCAAATCCAGGCTCTTAGCTCATCTGATGTGAAGCTGTGCAAGCAAATCAGTTTTCACAACAGTGGGCTGAATGCTGCTCTGCTCCTGTGTGTAACTGCTCATGTTGAACACAGACCTTCAGCACATCGTAGGGTGAGCATTTACTGTGCCTGCCAGTTGTCACTGACATTGCCTGGGGCAGGAGGGAGAAACGTGGCCTTATATCAAAGGCATTTCCATTTGATGTAGCAACAGTAGCATTTGATGCTAGTATTAGGCAGAGAGAATTTTGCCTGGTTACGTTTTGGTAACACTTCTTAAGTTTTTTATGCTTACAGAAAACTTTTCATTAAAGCATCACTTCCCTCCCTTGCATGAAAGGCAATTCTCAAATGGAGGGAAGACTTGCTGTAATACTTCAGTTGTGAAGATCCCGATTTCACTTTCAGAAAAAGCACACTATAGTTGTAGGCAGTTCAAATAAATTGTGAATGATTCCCATCTCACTCTAGCATAGTTTACAGTCATTTGACACATTGAGAGATTTAGAGATGCAGTGAACAGAAACAATGAAAGATGCAGCAGATTCACAGCCTGAATAAGCACATCACTTTTCAAATTAAGCTAAGAGCAACGAACTGAGACAACAGAAAGACAGGCTGAGCTGTTTTCCCCCAGCATCTAAGCTCATATATTAAAAACCAGCTGTCCTGGCCTAGTGCACGTAAAGCTGGTCCCACACACTAGAGCCCCGCACACTATTGTTGGGTCAAATCCGCAGCCAATTTCAAACAATGACACTAAGCAGTACAACCTTCCCCTATTTATCTCTGAGCCCATTACCTCAAAAATCTAATTAGTTACTCCTGCTAGCATTAACCACTCCGCTCCTCGTCCTCATGTTAGAAACACCAAGTTAATACACATAAAGCGCCATCAGAAAGGATGGCAGATAGGGATGAGTACGTAAAGGGTTGAAGACCTATCATGTAGATTCTCAATATTTAGCTAAAATCTGCTTGTAAAAAGGAAGGCAGGATGTTGCCAGGTAAAGGGCGTAACAATCCTGTCTCCAAAGCGCAGGATCACTGAAGTTGTTTGGGGGTTTTTTTGTGTGTTTTTTTGTTCTGTTTCGGTTGGGCAGTAAATCATTTTAACAGTTTAATAAATATTTCTGAGAAATGAGCATTTCTTCAAGACTTGCATCCTTTTTTTTTTCCTTTGTGTGGAATGCTAACACTACCTGCTTTGGAGGCGCACTGCACAGATCTGGCTTCTTTCCCCTGAAAAAGGGTTATGTCACTGCTCATGGATATACAGCCTCGAGCTGGGCCAAGTTGAGGGTGCAGCTATTCAAAGGCTGACAGAAGTACAAGTTAAAATGCAGACAGGATTTTACCTGCAGTGAGGAGGAAAGGACAGTGGATGCAGCTGCGACCACATTTAACCATGACATTGTCCTTCAATGATTGCTCATCTATTGATCAGGAATGTGGTTTTTTCCTCCTTACTAGTCTGTAGTCTGCATTCCTCTAATAAAAGGTAATAACAATTCCCAATACATAAAAAATTGATTTCTTACTACATGCTTCTCTCACACCTCGCAGAACTACTTAAGGACATAATATTACTACAGATCTCACCTGCCCCAGTGTCCTCAAGAAAATAAAGTCACTTCCTTTCAGCTTCTGTTTTGGGTCACATGTTTCAGAAGTTTAGTTTGTTGCTATCGTTTCATTCCTATCTCTTCATAAAGCGACTTCATAAAGGGCATCTATCTCACAAAATGAGAGGGGGCATCTGGCACATTAAGAATGAAATATGGAGCTCTCTAATGAACAGTAATCCCAGCAGCAAAATGAGGTGAGCACTCAATTTTGATGGGATGGTAACGTGCATTTCTTATTCACCACTTTAAAATATTAATAGAAACGTTTAATTTCTCTGAAGAACAACGGCACTAGGAGCACACTATAGAGAGCTTCTAGCAGATAAAAGTCAAAGGCACAAGACAATAACATGAAACTGCTCGTTTGGGTAACGCAGCTCACAGCCCCATGCTGAAGGTGACACCTACAACAGAGTCGTGTCCACATCCTCCAGAAGGCACAGCGTTTTCCTGCATCATCTCCACAGCAGTTCATTCACCATGACAGCAGAGGCATGCCCCCAGGCAGCATTAAGGGCAGTACTGCATGTCTCACACTACAGAAAAGAGTAGTCACCATACTCGAGCTCCCCATCATTCCCTTAAGACAAGGTGCTGCCAGCTATCGATACTTATCATCATCTCTTTGCTTCTTGGCATCTCTTTCCCTGCTCCGGTCTCTCTCTCTGTCCTTTCTGTCTCTGTCCTTCCTCTCTCTCCCTCTGCTCCTCTCCTCTTTTGAGTCTCTTTCTCTCTCACTGTCAGCCCAACCCCACGACCGCTCTCTTTCTGGCCCTCTCTTCTCTCTGCTCCTTTCATGCTCTCGGTCTCTTGTTCTCCAGTCCCTTGCTCCCTCTCGAGACCAGTTTCTTTTCTCTGCTGAGCCTTCTCCATAGAAATCATTTTTCACATTTGGCAAATTAATGGGTTTCCGGAAAGGTCTGTCCCGTCCTCCGAACCGCAGCTGCCCGGATTCTTTTTTGCCTCCAAAACCCCCTCCAAGCCTCCGAGGAATCCATCCTTTGAGAGTTCTTTCCAGTTCGAAGTCTACAAAGACCTCGTGCTGATCGACAACCAGCCTGTTGGCATCTCTATGGGCCTTCAGCAGAGCGCGTTCCTCCTTGTACTCGATAAACGCATAACCCTTGGAAAATCCCGTGACCAGATCTCGAACCAGACGGATCTTTCTGATGTCTCCGTATCGGGAAAAGACCTCCTTTAATTTCTCCTCCGTCGTCTGCAGATTGAGCCTCGCTACGAACAGGGTGAGGTGAGGATCTCCGGTGACGCCCTTGTTGGGGACATAACGCGCCAGCATGGCCCTCCACACGGCACGGTCGTGGGGCTCCTCATCCGTGCCGTCGATGCTCCCTGCTTTCAGGGGGTCGTACTCCTTCGCTATGGGCGCCCAATCGTTCATCGCTGGCGGGAAAAGAAATCAAATTAGACACAGCTCGCTGCTGACGTTTTAGAAAGGTAAACAGGCGGGGGGAAGCGCTTCCCGGAGCGCAGCGATCCTCACAGAAACCCTCCGGAGCGAGAACCGGGCGCGGCCCCGCCGGCCCCGCCTCAGCAGCCGCTCCCCGCGCGGCTCCGCAGCCCTTCGGGATCTCGGGCCTCACACGGACAGCGGAGCCGCCCTCGGAGCCGCCCCGTTCCCGCCCTCGCGGCTCCCTCCCCCACCCCTCACCTCTCCTCACGGCGCGGCCCCTCGCGCCGCCAGCTGACACCAAGCCGAGGGACGCCGCGTTCACTTCAGCCTCTCCCCCCGACCCTCCCGGCTCCCATACGGCTTTCGGCAGCCGCGGAGCAAAGCAGCGCCGGACGCGCTCACGTCCCGCTCCGCCCCGCTTGGGAGGCGGTTCCGGGGCGGGCACAACGCGGCTCCGCCCGTCGGAAGCCGCAGGGCGGGGCGGCGCCGGGCCGCGGCCCCTCGATGGAAAGCCGCGGGGTTCGCTCCGCCCGCGGGGTCCGGCCCTGGGGAAGGAAGTTGGTAACGGGCCGCGGACATGCGGCGCGGCGGGGAGGGGGAGGAGGACGGGGAGGAGGACGGCGGCCCCGAGAGCGCGCTGCAGAAGAGCCCCTTCCAGCTGACGGCTGAGGATGTCTACGACATCTCCTCCGCGGTGGGCCGGGACCTCCTGCAGCTCAGCGCCGGCACCGAGGCGCCCGCCGCCGCCGCACGGCTGCAGTTCAGCATGGTGCGGGTGCTGGAGATGCTGGAGGCGCTGGTGAGCGAAGGCAGCCTGAACGAGGAGCAGCTGAGGATGGAGCGGGACAGCCTGCGGGACGAGCTGGAGGCGCTGCGGGGGCGCGGGGCGGCGGGGAGCGGCCAGCAGGTGGGTGGGAAGAGCAGCGCTTCGACGCTTTGAAACGAGACTTCGCCGCCCGGTGGGCGCTGCTGCGATAGGGATACAAACAGAGCGCGAACAATAGCAACTGACTGCTGGGGAAACAGATCGGGGTGGTGAGGAAGGGATGCTCGTTGTAACAATCGCAGTGTGTTTGTAACATAGGATCGTTAAGGTTGGTGAAGACCACGGAGATCACCAACACATCACACCTTGCCCACCAACAGCATCACATCCCCACAGCTTCTGAGGTCCTACAGGGATGGTGACCCCAGCACCTCCCAGGGCAGCTGTGCTAGCACTGACCACCCTGTGGGAGAAGATTCTCCGAATACCCAGCCAAATCTCCCCTGGTGCAACTTACCTCCCATCCTGCTGTGACCGGTTACAAGATCACATCCCCTATTTTACATCTCTTATTTTGCAGCCCAACTTGGGACCAGATAAAATGGTGATAGACCTCACAGATCCAAATCGGCCTCGGTTCACATTACAGGAGCTGCGAGATGTGTTGCAGGAACGTAACCAGTTGAAAGCTCAACTTCTCGTGGTGCAAGAGGAGCTGCAGTGCTACAAAAGGTATATGGTGTGGTCAGCAAAGAACAAGCAACATTTACTTCTTTCTAGGGAGCTTATCAGATGATGGCATTGCTGGTTTGAGCACCTAAATTGAGCTGGGTACTGTCCAACCCTAGAACAAAAGACATCTCTGCTCCCAAGAACCTACAAATGAGCAAAGTGTGGGAATGATGAAGCTTCTATGCAGAATTTTAAGACTGAACTGCCTCTGACTCGGTGCAGTTGGCAGCCTATTGTAATAACTGTGCCCCTGAAAACCTACATGTGGTTGTTACATCTCTGTATACAAGCTGAGTTCTCACACAGAGAAAAAACCTGCATAGTTACAGCAGTTGCACACACGGCTCCTGTCTAAAGCCACGCCACTTACCAGAACATCATGGGGGTTTCCATTTTGTTGTAGCAGAAATTTACTTCCTCCTCCAACTTGCTGTGAGTGCAGATGGGGTTCTGCTAGCATATCTACTGTTCCTCTGCTCCCAGCATGTGTACAGCATTAATGTAGAACGCAGCCTGTTGAGCCCTTCTGCTATTATGGAAGAGAAGCATTTTTTGTTTTGTGTTGTTGTTGTTTGTTTGTGGCTTTTTGTTTTTTGGCTTTTTTTTAAGAATGCCAACAGCTACAATTCCTTGCACAACTCTGTGCTGACTACGTTTCTTCAGAGCAGAATCTCAGTCTTTCTAGAAGGGAGCAGCTTGGGAGAAGACGAGAATCAGGAAGGGTCTTCCTTTTGTGCTACAAACTGCTTCACCTCCAAGGCTGTTTTCCTCTCCCACCTCTGCCCCTCATGCTTCTGGCTGTATTATATGGTCCTTGGAGCAATAAATTATTTTTTAATTTAGACTCACAAAGTTTGAGAACTAGGGATTTCATCTGAGATCACAAAGCAACAAGCTCTTAGACTCAAGGCTGCCCTTTGCCTTGTTCGTAACAAGTTAAGTCAAAGTTAAAGTTAAATCCAAGAAGTCAGTTTACAAACTGTCTGCACAGCTGCAGTTCTCCCATAGCAGTGAGGCATCAGCTTCCCCATCTTGGCCAACTACCTTCACTGTGCAACCACTGGAATAGCTTCTTGTCTTTGATTTCTCATGTGTGACACATAGCTTACTACAGGCCACGTTAAAAATTGATAGGAAAGTTTAAAATATGCTGTTAATGACCCAGAGCTTTGTTCCAAGATGGAGTGGAAATGCTGCTTTGGGGTTCAGGTAATTTTATACAGAATTACAGGATAAGCCAAAAGCCACCTTCTCTCACATCCCAGACTGTCCACTGGCCAGCAATACTATACTAAGATAGTGACAAAAATAGCAAAACCAAACAAAATCCACTTCTCTTATCAGTGGGATCATCTCACAGAGAAAGGATGAGACTAAAGAACTGGAGAAGGAACCCCGTGGCAGCAGAAAGGACAGCAGTGAGAAGACAATCGTCAAACGGCTGTAAGTTTGTCTAGTTTTTTTTTTGATGTTGTTTTAGCAAAGCATGAGATGAGGACACACTGCACACACAGTGAATCCAGGGGGGAATTCTGAACTTTGGCCTACTTGGCTGGATATTTTTTCCTCCTCCTCTCTATAAAATTCAAATGTGATAGAGAAATCCTTTTCTGTTCAAAAAGCAATCCACAGGGAGGCAAGCTCCACCTAGAGAAGCGGGGTGACACTTTTTTCTACAAAGAGTCAGCATTTCAGAACAAAACTGTGCAACCTGGGACCTGTCAGCACATTAAGACTCATGATTGCTGTCCCTGGGGGTTTGTTTACACTGCATGCAAGCAGCTGCATGCAGCATCCACAAGCTCAGGTCATGTCCTTAAAGATCCCCAAAATAGCAGAACACACCGAGATGGCAATCACACAGCATGATCCTTCTTCTCCATTTGTATTTTTCTTTTGCAGGTTCTCTTTTAAACACGGAAAATGAACATTCTTGAAAACTTGCCACTTCTGTTCAGAAATGGCCCCAGTTGAAAGCATCTGAAGGAGCAAGGAGTCAAGAACTGGAGAACAAAGCATCACTCTTAGTGGTAGAGAATAAGCAGTCTCAGAACAATTGTTGTACAATATTCTTTCAGAATAGGCTTTACTTTGCTTTTTTAGCAACCGTTTAACATATGTACACTTGCATTGTTGGATTCCTTTCAGACATTACTTGTGGAAAAAAAATGTTTATATATAAAGGTTTTGTTTGTTCTTATTAAGAGAACCTATGATGGAACTGTACTCCTGTACATTGACCTTGTGTACATCCTGGAGTAATCAGCTCAAAGTGATTTTAAGATTAAGATGTGTTATTTTTTTAAAAGATATGTGACATCCACGTGCCTTCACAGTGAAGTGCTGGGAAAGAATTCCAGCTGACCCCTCACTGATATGACATGAAAAGTAATTCCCCATCTTATTATTAACCAAGTGCTTGAAAAAAGCCCCCACAGTGCTTGTGCTCTTTCTTTGCATTAACTGGGCATTCACAGGAGTGGACTTTTAGGGTAGGGATGGAAGAAACTAGCACAGCAAAGGAAGAAAAGCTGTTGCATCACACTCTGATCGCATCAAGGATGGGTATTATTTCAGAGGTGCAAACAAGCTTCAACTGGAATAGATGCATCAAACATTTTAGTTTCAACAAAGGGCTTTCTGGGCTAGACAGTTGTCTTTTTCACAAGCTTTTTTCCCCTCTAATTAGCAGATACAAGCTGTTGTTGCTTAAGTTAATACACATTTGTCACTAGTAGAATCATATAGGGCAAACAATAGAAGAAAAGCTTCAAAATACCAGTTAAAATTTCACATTTAGAAAAGCAGAATTTCAAGAGCAGTAGAGTGTGAGCAGACATAAAAAGAGCAGTGACAGGAATCAAGCTATGATCTGACACTCCTTAGAAGTGAAAGCAAGATCTGAAGTCTTTTGATTCCCTCCCGCATGCGAACAACATGAAAGGTGCAGGGCACCTCACACATCAGCTCAAGCACAAAGCAGATGAGTCTTTGCAGATGACAGACACTGCAGTTTCCTTTCAGACAGAATTTATTAGCAACTGTACACCAGCGAGACAGATGTCTGGCCTAGGTAGACTGGTTCACAGTTAGTGTAGCCATTGCACAGAACTCGAATTTTACCATCTCTGACACACTAATGAGGCTTGTTCATGTATCAGAGACATTTTCTAGAACAGAGTAGTAAGGAAGGAATTCAATGCATCTTCTGGAGAGAGTTTATGTTTAGGGGGGAAAAAAAAACTGCATCAGCAACAGCCAGGACACATCTCTGAAAGATGTTTGCACGTGCTCTGAACGGCCTCTTCCTGTGTGGTTCATCCTAAGATGTATTTTACAGTCTCACAGAGGGGAGGCAAATTACACCTAAAACCACAGTTCTCAGTTCTACCATACCTTAAGGAAACAGCTTCAAGTAACAACAAAGCGCACAGATCAAGTAGATGCATGTAAGTGTACCAGCTTGCCAAGGAGGTACAGAGACTGTAGCACAGCCCAGGACCACTCCTCATTGGCAGGTAGGAGAGGAAACAGTGAATGCTGCAATTGTTCTTTTCAAGTTACCACTGGCTACGTTCTTCAGTGAAAACAAGAAGCAGGAGTTCACCAGTTAATGTAGACAGGAGACCACCACAACCTTTTGGGGCTATTCTTTTTCTGGCACTAAAGTTGCATGCAATCGGGTGTGGAGAAGAGAAGCACAGCTTCTCTCACAGAAGGGAAGCAAACTATGGCCACAATAGAAGAGCCTAGGGTCTGTTAGAGCAACTATGCTGCCTTCAGCAAAGACAAGCAAAGAAGTTTAACTCCCAAGCCCAGGGCACCTTTCCCTGCTAAGTGCTTTACATCTCGTTAGAAGATGAATCTCCTGTAAGGCACGAGGATAAAAATCATAGCTTCATGTTCCTCTGAGAAGTATTATAGACACAAGCATATACATACACACACACACACACTGCTCCTACCAAAGCAAAAGACACCCTCAGTGCAACATCAGCTTTATTACTATCTTCTGATGCAGTGCTACTTGATTACCAGTTAAGCATTTCAGAAGACAATTTTTATGTAAAATAGGGAGATTGTCCCTCCTTGTTATTTACAGAAGTGACACCAAAGCACAGAGATGTTAAGCTATTTAATCTGATAGAGAACAAGCAAATTCTTAAACAAAGAACAAGAGGAAGCATTTGATTCCAATTTTGACTGAAGGGAAGCACTCTAGTACAACAGATGCTACAGCAATGTACGGTAGTATCCTGTTCTTGATACCAGAGAGAAATCACTGCCAACTAAAACAAGACAGTGAAAGAAGCTTACCTGGAACTCCTAACAAGGTAACAGATCTCCAGTTAATTCAGAAATTGTGAAAATACAAAGGCTCTCTCTGCTGAGCTGGCCTGGTGCTAAATGCTAAATAACATCAAGCAGTTAATGGCTAATGATTTTCACAGCTTTCTTTCAAAATGCTAATGATCTGCAATGGAGACACAGGTACTATAACAGCCACTTCATAAATAATAAATATATTCTTTATTTTACAGAGACGTTGTCTTCAAGTTTTTCATTTAAAAAATACATCACTTTGCCACCTCTCTTGCTGCTGGAGCATACAACCACGATGTCGCTATCTGACCTATCACACAGGCAAGCGTGCAAGGTTGTCCTAGAGGGCATTAGCTGGAGCAGCTGCAGCCTTCAAGACATGGAGGAAAAAAAGACAAGCAGAGCCACAGATCCCTTGCTGACATCTTCCAGCAGCAAGCACGACAAATGGCTCACAGCCATCTTCATCTACACACATGCCAAGCCTTCCTTGGCAAAAATTCTAATTGGTAAGAACTCATCTTTAACATAAAGGACCTGCATTGTATATTGCCCGCCCACGTGACAGATTTGGTGATGTTAAAAACATCTGCAAGATGCTAAGCACACAGCTCCCATTTAAGACAGTGGGCCCAGACCATGCTGGACAGACCTACAGGACCAGGCAATAAGGAATATACCTTTCTTCATTGCACAAACACCATCATTACCATTTGAAGCTGCATATAAAGATGACTTACAGAACCACTATGCTCTACTTCAAGCATTCACAGTAAATAAATAACTTCTGATGGAGCTATAAATAGCATAGGAAGGTAATAAAATTTTCAGAGAGTTTTTTTGTTTGTTTTGCTTCTTTAAAACCCTCTAGGAATCACCGCCAAGAATCAGTCATCAACTATAAAAGATACCATCCCAAATTTTACAAAGGTGTCTCCAACGTTGATTCTCTCATAAAGTTAAATTCCTACATTTTTAATCAGTATCAACCCAGCCTATCAAAATCCATCATTGTCTTGGAGTCATTTCTCTAAAGAAAAGCCAGTATGACCATCCATTTCCCTCAGCACAAGTGCATTTGAAGTTAATCACCAATGAGATACCACAGTGGGGAAAAAAAAAGAACCCTACCACAAGTTATTTGAGAATGATAGAAACAATAGCATCCATTAAAAAAAATCTTTGCAAGAAGTCTAACAAGTAGTCAAGCCATTGACATAGGAGTCAGCATAAAAAAAGCACATTTGCTGTCATAAAGCTAATGTCAAGTTCACCACCCCAAAAATTGGAGTATAAGACTTCACTGCAGTTGCAGAAGCACAATCCAAATGACTGAGTTCCAATCTGTGCAAGTCTTCACATGCTCAGGTGGCAGTGGTCACTACGCAGGAGGGTTCTGATTTCTAGGGAGGGCTTCCTTTTACAATACAGAAGTTTTGGCAATCTAAGAGAAAACTTGAGCCTGCTTGGAAATCTGTAATAGGAATTTAAATACTGCAAAGTAAAAATGTAGTTTTCAAAGAGCTCAGAACCATAAGCAGTTCACTAAGAAAGCTGAGGGAAGCGAGGATGGAGAAAAAAAATCCACCGACTCCTTGCAGAGCACTCAGCCTCCACCACCTCCCCCAAAAAACAACCTAAAGCCACACCCAGAAGATGAAGAATTAGTGTTTGAGCCATGGATGAGCTTCAATGGAAGCCTTGCTTCTGTCTCCATAGTCATACAACAGTTCTTCACCTGCTTTAATGTCTCTGGAAGCTATCAAAATGAGATGAGGCACACCATCAATGTCATGAAGCTTTGTTTGACAATTGCCACATTTGCTGTGATTAATCAGTCTTCCCAGACGATTAGTTTCTTTTGTAGCATCAACACTGGAAGAACAAGAACATTTCATGCACAAATCATATTAAAGGACAAGAAACAAAGTGCAAACTAGATAAAGAATTAGGAATACATACAAGGCTTGGAAATTAAAATAGACAAGTTGTCTGTGCAATGGCTTCGGAAGAACTGAAGTTTAGGGTGAAAAAATAAAAAAGAAAAACCACACTGGAGTGATGAAGCATGCATGTGTAGTTGGTGACAAGTACTGAAGGAAGAAACACCCAGAGACACATGAAGTGTTTTTCTCTTCCTATCTGTTCCTACTGCTTTTCTAAAAGAAAATGATCATAACTCAGGAGAAGTGGCTAATTTCACAAGACAGTAAGTTTAGGAAGAAATCCATGGCAAAGCTGGAAGTCCCATCCAAAGTAGATACGTCTCTCCATACAGATGGTGCTGTGCTTCAGGGAATAGGGCTGAGAGTTGCCCATCACTCCCTTTAACCCAGAGGTACAGAGGGCTCTTGGCCAGCAAAACAGCGCTCCAAGAGGATTCCCTAACTTGTGGTACCCAACCAAAAAGGACCAACAAAACTGTATGAAAACAAGAAACAAACAAACAACAACAAAAAACAGCATTCAAAAGTTTCTACTGCTCATCTGTAACACACAAAGCAAAAGCAGCTTACCAGTATGTTTTGCTGAGGTACTGAAAATAGTACATATAGCAGCCTGTGGATGGATCTTGAGCATACACAGCCTCCCGCTTTTTAGCATCAGTGATCTCTATGAGATCTCCATGATATTCAACTACAAATTCTCCACGATTAAAATGTTTAGTAGCAATTACTCCTCTCCCTTTGCCATCAATGTAATCAATCTGTTGAGTTGAAAAGAGACAAATCACATGGGAAATGAGAAGGTACTCATGACTGCCAGTAAGCTGTTTACTAGGAAAGGAGTGCATGACATTTGTCATTAAAGTGACATGGTACAGCATCTGAATGTCACAGACAAAGCTGTGGAAGCACAATTTACTGTATTAGAGAAACAGAGTGACTTCAGGAGGCAACACAGCTACCATGCATTTTGCATTAGAATGCCTAAGCTTTTCCATTTCAATGTTACCATTAGCATGCACAGGAAGAAGAGATGACAGGAGTATAGAAAGGTCAATCACACAAACTGAATTAGTTACTCACTAGTACACCTGATTCTTCCTGCCTCTACCTGTGAGCTGTACAACTCCTACAAGGATGCCACTGTCCTAGAAGCCACAGTGTGAACTGCACACTGCTGCTTTTTGAGAACCACTGTGCTTTTAAGAGCTTACTGCATGAACAATACACAGTACTCAGGTTAGCATTGCTGTTACCTTCATTCCTTCTTCTTTCCCACTTGTAATTAGTGCATCGATTTTCCTCCTTTCCTCAGTCTGAGGAAGTAACAAGACAAAAAAAAAACAAGACCAAGTTATTTGTTGGTAGCTTTTGTATTTTATTCCATAGCTACCAGGAAATGATTGGCCAATGGCATTCAGTTTTTCCAAGCCATCCCTCTTTCCAGCAAAACTAAGTTGTACAGAGACAGAATAAAGAGACATCCCCCAAGAATGCATTATCATTTAAATTCCATCCTAAAAATAACTGGACCAATAATTCTGTATTTAGAAACATTCCTAACAATAATTCCAGTGAACATTTGCTACTGCATTAAGTACTGGTATTTCATCAGGAAGCACTACCTCCAGTTCAGATTTGCTCTTCCTGGAGCTTCTTCTCACTGGGTAATAATCTGTCACCTTTCGATTCGGTGCTCTTCCTTGTGTTCTAAGGAATAAGAAAAGCAGGAAACACATTTCAAACTACTTCTGAAGTTACACCTCTGAAACAGGTAACTAAAAATATATACATATTTTTAAGCTTATGTTAAATGTTGATCAGCATGAATCCATGTTCTTACCAGTATTCTGCATTCCAAGCCAGAAGCTACATACCCTATTACTAATCCTTTAACCACAAGATTGAGATGCCACTGGAAATCAACTGACAAATCACATTAAACTCTGAAGTCCCCACCATGTGCCTTCCCAAAAATGTAGGTCATTAAAGCAGCTTGGCCATGAATTCATTAATGTTAGGTTACATTATTTCATTAACATGAGTGAAGTTATCAACTCAGCCAGCACTCCCCCAGTTACAATAATCTAACACTGTGAATCTGTCAAGACAGACTCCATTTGTCCACAGAACAGTAAGTCTTAGTGGTTCCTAAATTAATTTTTGCCTTGCTTGCTAGTGAAATAGTCATCTGCAAGACTGCAATACTTTGGGTGCTATTTAGCATTTTCAAATATGCTATTTTTGAAGAAAAGGAATCTTCTTTAAAATCTGTCCCCAAAAAAGAGCAAAGCAAGGGAAACATTAATTCCAGGTCTGGCTTATTTATAGCCTCTCTATTTGCCTATCAAGGCAAAATGTAGATAAAGGCCCCCTGGTGCAAAATGGCCTAAAGCAGAAAAGCTTTTACAGTTCCAGAAGTTACTTACTTCCTTCTGGGTCCATGCTTTGCTTTAACTGCCTTCTTCTGAGCTGGCTTTACACTGGCTTCACCAGCACAGTCGGAGGGCAGGAGCGTCTTCTCAGCTTCTACAGATCCTTGGGTTTTTGGATCAGAAGACAGCACTGAAGTATTGCACCCACTTTCTTTATCTTTCTGGTCTTCTGGTTTCGTAGCACCTTCAATTATATTGCCACCATTCTTTTTTTCTAGTGAGAAAGAAATAAAGAATGGCTCTGAATTCAAGATCATCTATACCAGAGTGCTTTTATATGAATTCCAATAGTTTCTATTTCTAGTTCCATCAAATAGGAGAAAGAGGTAGGAAATAAATGATACAATCTCTTTCTGCTAGAACCCAGGCAGACTGTCACTGGACTTTCAAGTAGTCATTGCTATGGTATAGAAGGAAGCATAAGAAAAGGAACAGGTAAAAACAAGAGCAAGTTCTTTGTCATGGGTGTAAAACTGAGCAGTGAACCTAACCCGAATCACAGTCCATGGTACAAACAGCCTGCCAGCCAGGGCACTTGGCATACTGAGTTCTCAAACTGCTATAAAGGAATCAGCAACCTGCCCTGAAGGAGCAGATTGCACTGCTGCAATCAGTCACCACAGGAGCTGGTGCTAAGGGGCCAATACCACTCAGACCAAATCCACAGGAGCTTACAAGAAAAAGTTCTGTTACATTTTCTTGGTTGAGCCTATCCCACCTTGAGGTGACCACATCCTCCTCAGCTGACTTTTGATTCAGGGTAAATGAGACATGTCTTAAAGCTGACTAAAGTTTTCATTTAAAACCAATTACCAGGTTTAATTTCCTTGGGCCAAGACAGATGCTTCAATCTCACTGGAGAAATGAAGTACTGCTGAAAGGCCACTGATCCACTGTGGGGAAGACTAAAGCCATCTTCACTTTCTTGGTGAAATCTGGGAGTTACAGCCTGTAAGTTTTCCTGTGCTCAGTGGGGCTTAAAACATCTACTTGCAAATAACATTTGAATCAAAACATTTCAACAAGTTACCACACTTAACAACCACACCTTTAAGCACAAACCAGCTGTGGGGTTTTTGTTTGTTTTCCATAATCACCTGGTAAATCTGTGACTTCAGTTCTGAAAAGGATAAGGACACCGCCATCCTTGTAGAGTTTCTTTGCTGACAGAGCCATAGGATTTAGGAAAGCAACTGGAGCAGGGGAGCTGCCCACCTCCTACAGATCTAAAACTGGGGGGTGGGAAGGAAAGCACGCTTCACAAAGCAAGCAATCCAAAGATCAAGCTTACCATCTCCTTTCCTGTTGGTTTCAGTTAGCGCTTTGCCCTGGCATTTCACTTCGTGATACATGACAGAGTTTTCTTCCTGAAGTGGGGAGCGAGCACCAGGAGACTTGTTGGGATTCAGGTAGCTGTAGATTTTGGATTGACCAGTAAACACATTCTCCTAAAACAGATTCACACATACAAACAAAAAAAAAAGTGTATCACAGAGATGCTGGGAGCCTCCAGTTGGTATCCACACCGTGCTGCAAAGAGCAGGGCTGGCAGCTGACTGTGCTAATGCAAGTTGCACTGCTTTAATGCATCATCCTTTAATGCATCATCCTTGCTACCCCTGCTATCTCTAAGATGTGAAAACTTTACCAGGGTAAGCACTCAGAACCTTACTAATGCAAACCTCCTAGTTCAAGAGGATTTTCATGTGCAATGTGGTAGGATAGGAGAGCCATAATGAACACCAGTTTCCACCCTCTGCTTCAAGATATGAACTCTGAGCTGCTCAGAGAGCACAAGCCAAAGAAAACACCAATAACAGCAGAAACTGCCCAAGCCTTGCACATACCTCACATAGCCAAGGAAGCATGAGCTTACCCAATTGCTCACTGTGTGTCAAATGTTATTGCAATTAATATGCTCTACAGAGCAGCACAGAAGACAGTTTTTGAAAGTCCACTTTGAGTGACACCTCTCATTGAGGTTTGGGAGATGAGCAGTGCTATCTGTTTATCCATTATATTGTATGAAATGGAGTGTTAAGACTGCTGATGGCATAAGAAACATGCAATATTCTAGGCAAAGCACTTGGTCCCTGCCAGCAAAATGGTAAAACCCTCTGGTACGGTCAAACAACACAAAGCTGGAGCTCAAAAGCTGGTTCAGGCTGAAGACCCCAGTAGGGAGGAGTATAGACTTAGCAAAGTTTACAGGAGTTGTGACATCTTTGCTTTTATGGTTCTCTGCAACCAGGCCAAGCTTGACTGTGCAGGTATGTCAGGCACAGGGATTTTAGCTGTGAAATCCCAGTGTCAGGACAAACAGCTGTGAGTTGGCCAGAACAAATTTGTCTTGGCTGTATTTTGACTCAAGTGAAAGCACTTACAGATACTGCAACTCAGTTGAAATAAAAAACAATCAAGTTCTGCGTGCATTTTCTTTTAAAACATTCAAAGGCTCCCATTTGAGAGTAAAATAGCTCAAATACAGACATTTCACTAAATAAATGCTCTAATATGTCTCATCACATAAGAACTAATGAAGTAAACAAAGCACGCAGCACATAAGAAAATTGTACTTAACGAAAACAAGTAACAGAGTACACAGCTACACACAAAATAAGATCAGTCAAAAGCTTCAGTAAGAATTAAGATCACAGCAGAACACCCTGAGAAGCCAGTCAGAGCTTTCCACCTTCACAATGGGAGAAGTCCATCAGAAATGAGACTCGCTTATTTACGGAAGCAGGGCTTTAAGGATGACGTACAACAACGCTGGATTTTAACAAATACAGGCAGTGAAACCCACACTGAGAGACTCCTGACATTTAGCAGGAGCTCCACAGCCGGCCGTCTCCTGGAAGGCCAGCAGCAGCCCACCTGCCCACGGAGCTCCGTGCACACACTGACGGGGCCACACCAGCACGTCCTCGGGCCGCTCCCTTCCCCCCCAGCCCCCGCCTGCAGCACGGCGCTCCCGGCTGCCACGTCTTTGTCTGTGCCGAGCGTCAGAGCCTCCGCGGCACAGATTTTCTCAGCACAGCAGCACACGTTAAGGGCTGCTAAGGATCCCGGGGTCTCGACGCAATAGCCAAGATTCGTCCTAGCGAGGTTTAAACGCAAAGCGATTACCAAACCCGGGCCCGCAGCCTCTAGGGGAGATAGAGGACAGCACGGAAAGCAGAGGAGCAGGGCCGCTCGCTGACAGCAGCTCCCGCCGCTCGCAGGGCAGGGAGGACACGGCGCACCCCGGCCGCGCCGAAGCTCGCCCCGCTTCCGACTCCGACGGACACCTCCATACCGGTGGCTCCTGGGGCCGCCGTCCGCCTCCACCGCACGGGGCGCACCCGCAGCGGACACCGGGAGCCGCCCGCCCCGGACCCAGACAGCACTTACCCCACCGGCCCGGGAGCGGCCGGGGCTCTTCCTCTCGGCGTTCTCGGGGCTCGCCTTCTCCGCGCCGCCCGCCCTGGCCTTGGGCATATTCCTGCCTAGGAGCGAGGAAGGAAGGGCAGCATCTGAGCCGTGTCCCGCGCCGCCGCTCGCGGTCATCTCCCGGCCCCCGCGGCCTGCGCCATGTTTAAAGGGCTCACTGCAGCAGGGCGAGCCGCGGCGGCCCAGCCCCTTCCCGGCGAGCTGCGCACACCGCACGGGGGAGGAGTCCCGCCGGCCCCGGCGCTCCGCGCCTCCCGGTAGTGGTCTCCGCGTCGCCAGCGGCTCCGCGCCACCCGGCCCCGCGCCCGCGCCCTTCTTCGACCCATCCGTACTCGCCGCGCGCCGCCGGCCCCCCATAGCAGCACCGAGCGCTCCCCCCTCGCCCGCGCACCTTTAGCCATGGCGGCGGCGGCGCGGCCCCCAGGAGCCCCCGCGGCGCGGCTCCCCCGGCACCGACCCCGGGAGCTCCCCCGCCGCCGCCAACCGCCCCGCGGGGAGACACCGCGCTGCCTGCCGCACCCCCATTGGCTGAATCGGGTGTCGGATAACAGCTTCCGCGTCGCCGATTGGCTCGCAGAGCTACGCCCCGCCCCCCCGGCTGTCAGACTGAAGAGGGTGCGAGCTCCCGGGACCGGTGTTTAAATGTGCGTCCCCTGGGCGCTGATTGGCCTGTGCGAAGGGCAACCGGCGCGCTGATTGGCGGCCCCGGGAGGAACGCCCTTCCGCGGCTGTGCCTCGCCACGTGAATAGCAACGCTGCGAAATCGTTCGACTTTTTTTCATATATAAAACGTGAGAAAATCAGCAGCAAAGCTCGAGGGACCCGCAGCATCAGCAGATGGCTCAGCACCCAAGGGCAGGCCTGGGGTACGCGCTGCAGAACAGGTAAATGACCGTTGCAATGATTAAAGCGTCAACGAGTCAACATGGCATGCATCAAAGGACCGCGGAGCAGTGGCTGTCATCGTGGAGATTTGCAATATCTCACACGTCACCTCTTTAAATAGGACAGTTATGGAGGTTGCTCCAAAAGTAACCATACTTTCCACCACTAGCTATGCACTTTCACCATGAAGGAACAAGAGCCTGCACGCTGTGCTCGGAAATACCTGCATCAGTGCAGGTGACACACTGCCACTGTCACCACTGCTGAAATCCACACCCACCGCCTCACTGTGCTCACATTCATCCACTGCTTGGTGTCCATCAATGCTCAGCAAGCATCAGTGAATGTCAGTGGGGGCCATTTTTTTCCGCATGGAGAAAGTCAGTGACACACCTTTGCTCCATACTCACTTCCATGTCAAATGCCATTGTGTCACACTGCCCCTCTGCTGCCATCTGCCACATAGCAACAAAACGTGATTGGATATTGGCAGGAAGGGTCAACTCTTCTGCCATCCCACCAATATCCACCTCTGGTGTCATGGGGCCAACACCATAAAATAGAAGGTATTACTTTTGGAGCAGC